GATTTAATTTATCATATTTTGCAAGTGATGAAGAAGTTGACTACATTTTAAATGCAGTTGAATTCATCGCAACTGATGGATGGAAATTTTTATCATTGGTAAAAATTCTTTGTTTTTTCAATAATTTCTATTTAATAGAAACTATTTAACTGTTTCACTTGCTTCAGTATACGTATAATCCAAAAACAGCGGTATGGCGCGCTCGTTCAATAGCATCGCAAGATAGTTTATCTCAATATCATAGTCTACAAATGATTAGTTTTAAAAACGGTACAATGGAAGGAAATCCTGAAGAGCAACAAATAAAACTTTTCGTAATTAAACTTTGTTTTGCTATCATTAAATTTATTGATATTTTCTCATATAGAATTCAGATACGCCTCCCCTCATTACCAATATATCTTCGAATGATCCGATCGAGGAAGCTAGACTGATCGCAAACAAAATACCAAAATATGTTTATGAAAATAATGATTTTCGAAATGATCCACCATTAAATATTCCAGATGAATATAAAGATTTTATTTGGTTTGCTATACCTATAGATGTTATTCGAAAAATTATCATTGATTTTGAACAAAATGGTTCTAGAACAGTACCGTTCCGTCCAAATAGCGATAATTAATAAACTATCATAAATAAAGTAAACTTTGCTTTATTTCTACAATAACTATTGCCAATTTCATTTTTAGGATGTAAACATTTTATAATCATCATACCGACTCGATTATAAACATTTACAGCTATTTTCAAAAAAAGAATAAACTTTTATTAACTTTTACTCTGAACTTATTCTATTCTATAAACTCGAATTATTGTACCTTTGAAATAATAGAGCACCACACACAGGATATTTTACTGTGCGATCATTAGAAATTTTATCAGTTTTATTTTAGAAGAAATAATAATAAAACGTTACTTTTCTATCAGAGTTTGTCACACGACATATATTTTTTTTACCTTGTCCTGTTTTTATGAAACAGATGCCTTAGACTACGAGTGTGGATGGCAGCGAGTGTTTTTCTGAACGTGAGATTTTGTCTGCGGCTGTCAGTTATATTTAGCGTTACACTCATACCTCCATAGGTACAGAAAAAGGTAAGTAAAAAAACAATACGAAACTCATTGAAATAAATTTTATTTTTAGGCGTATCCCAGCAACAAAATACAAAATCTAGAGTATGGTAAACTTGATACACTCTCAACCTCACCCTTAATTTTTTTTAATGATGTTTTTAATTATTCATTGGAGTGACTCGTGAAGAGCTGGCGTAATAATTTGTCTGAAAGCGCATGAAGGGTATCCAAACGATTAAGGGGGGAATCCCCCTCCGAAAGTCGATTTTTCAAAAAACACACAATCTTCTAGCCCTGAGTGTCCTCTTTCAGAATATATATAAATTATATAGGAATAATGCATATGAGTGAATTGCAACTTTTTGGTACAATTCACGCGAACAGATGAAAGTGAACTTATACAATTTTTGAGTAGTGCATTTTATTACAATCTATGCCAATAGTACACAAAAAAAAATTCCCGACACTTGATCGATTATTAACGGAGATTTGGCCCTTTTATACATGTATCACTTTTTCTACTTGTGGGTGATTCCATGCCAAAACAACCACACTTTGAAAGTTAAAAATTTATATATAGCAGAAATCAGTACATGATCATAGATGGAATGGTCGATGTAGCTGTACCGAAAAATGAATTTTTTTTTCATCCACCTGAAACCCTGGAGGGCAGTACGGCAATTTCGAAAAAAACAATTTTTCATTTTTCTGGAGAACCACCTTGACGATTCTATCTGGGATTATGTCCTTATTCGTGCTAGGGACGAATTTTCGAATAAAAATGGAAGCTAGAGAATAGTGCGCTTTTATGTTTATCCTGAATAAATTTTTTCGAGAAAAACCGTCAACATCTTGAACATTTTCGCTTTTGCGGTCATCATTTTTTTCCCAAATGATACTTGATAATCGCTTCCCACGTAACTACGTCAAAAAAAATATTTTTGAATGACCCGTACTGAAAATATTCGCGAAAAACTGTCATTCTACACACTTTTCTAAAAATTGTCGTTCTACATTTCTCAGTATAATGTAAATTTCTCCCGAATGGCAGAAGATTCAGGGCTGAAATTTTTATC